TTGAGCATTGTCACCCAATGCTGCTCCTCCATAGATACAGTGCAGTGATTGAGCATTGTCGCTCCTCCATAGACAGTGCAGTGAGTGAGCGTTGTCACCGAACGCTGCTCCTCCATAGATACAGTGCAGTGACTGAGCGTTGTCACCCAATGCTGCTCCTCCATAGATACAGTGCAGTGAGTGAGCGTTGTCACCCAACGCTGCTCCTCCATAGATACAGGGCAGTGACTGAGCGTTGTCACCCAATGCTGCTCCTCCATAGATACAGTGCAGTGAGTGAGCGTTGTCACCCTGGGACAGGAAGTGTGTTACTGGAAGGATCTCCAGGTGAAAGTAAAGGGAAACAATAAAAGAAAGCTGCTGCAGCCGCCACATCTGAGGAGCGGAAGGATATAATAAATTACATTTGTGTTCTCGGGTTTAGAAGAAGAGAATCCCCGTGGCCCCCGAGGAGGGAGCGGGGGCGGGGTGATGGATGGCCCTACACGGAGCACACAGCTTCCCGGAGCCCCTGATAAAGGGAAGGTCCTCGGGGGTGACATTATATGAAGGATGTGTCGGGGTCACCGCGTCCATGTACCAAGCGTGCCGGCCATTCCTCAAACAGACATTTATCGCGTGTGATCAGCGCCGCGGCCTCGCGCCCTTTCCTCAGATTTATGAATGTACAGAAGAGCTTACACTCTAATGCAGAGTGGCACCGGCTGTAGGGGGACTACAAATCCCAGCAATGCAGAACTGTATATGCGCTGGACTCTGGGCTTGGCGACGCGCCGGGCTCTGAGACCCCACACAGCCCACCTGAACTTGTATTCGATAACGAAAAAAACGGTTTCGGTGCATCCCGAATCGTGACCCCATTTGCCATCTTGGTGAAATGGAGTCATTGGGTTATAAGGGCGGAATGGCCTTTAAAGGAGAACTTTGTCCGGCCTTTTCCCCATAGTTCTCCTTAGGGTAACGGGAGGACACAAAACACTCCGGGGGCCCATTGCCTGCTGGGAGCACAGAGGAACCCTGACACTAAAGCTGCCCATACACCTTGCCATTGTCGTACAATTTCCGCATGCGATCGCGTTTTCGTACGACAATCGCAAACTTGATGGGGAGTCTACAAGCGCAAGTGCGGCCCAATCGTGCGGCGCTCGTCTTTCCTGCGGCTAGAAGACTTCAGTGCGTTGGTAGGATTTTCGGCGCGCTGGTGTCGCGGTTGTAAAACGAAATTCGTACGATCAAAACAGCGCAAAAGTTTTTCTCTAAATCACAGCCAATCATCTAATTAGCGATAACCGCAGGTCTGTGCATCAGCGCCCCCCCCGGAGCGGTTACCGGGTGATACCCCGCCGTGACGTCATCGCGCATGCGCGGCGATCTTATTGATACCTGCCGGCAGCCATCTTGGTGATGGATGCCAGCAGAGAGAGGAGGGGACAGTCACCAGGCGGGATGAGGAAACCGCACCCCCCCTGGTGACGCCACTGCGGTGCATGATGGGCTGGTTGTGCGGAAATTTTATGAGGTTCCAACCATCGTACAATAAAAGTTGACCATGGTTGTAAGGTGTGTGGCCAGCTTAACATTAAACCTGATTGGTGCTCAGATTTGGGTGGGGTGAGATCAGATTTGGGTGGGGTGAGTTCAGATTTGGGTGGGGTGAGATCAGATTTGGGTGGGGTGAGATTAGATTTGGGTGGGGTGAGATCAGATTTGGGTGGGGTGAGATTAGATTTGGGTGGGGTGAGATCAGATTTGGGTGGGGTGAGATCAGATTTGGGTGGGGTGAGATCAGATTTGGGTGGGGTGAGAT